TATATAAATATATATATATATATATATATATATATATATATATATATATATATATTTTATTTTTATTTTTTTAATAAACACATTATAACACAACCTAAGTAGTAAATTTGTCCTTTTTAATGAAAAAAAAACTATAGTAGAAAAAGAGATATCGTATTTTTCATTCACACATTATTTTTTTTTTAGATAGGATCACTTTATTCTTTCATTTATTCATTTTCTTAATTTGATTTGACACAATCTACATTGTAAAAGAGCTACAGAAATTAAAATAAAAAGAATTAAACAGAATTACTTAATTAATTAATTCATTTATTTTCTTTTTTACAGGATTGCTTCATTCAATCATTCATTCATTTTCGTTTAAATAGGATCACTTAATTTCACTTAATTAAAAAAAAAATCACTTCATTCATGAATTAATTTTCTTTTAAACAGGGTAAATTCATTCATTCATAAAATTGCATACATTTTAGCACATTCCAAGTAGTAAATTTGTCATTTTTAATTAACAAACCTAGAGAGTAGAAAAAGAGATGTTTTACATAAACCTTTTTACTTTTTCAACAATTAAAACATAGATGATTGACACATTGCCTATTTTAAGAGTTATTAATGTAAAAAGTAACTCTCTATGTCACAGTAGATCATGCAAAGTTATATATCGTTCATGCTCTACCTGAATAATTGAAGCGTCTCTCACTCTCTTCTCGTTTGTCTCGCGGGCACATTTTAAATGCATTACAATCTCAGGTCTTATATTTTTTAAGATCAGACATGCACGTCTTCCACAGCGAGCAGAAATATTTAATAAGCTACCTCGGGTAGAAGAGAGCAATAAAACCGCTCCAGTTATAAAGGCAAAATTGGATTCATCTCTTCATCTTTTGTCGTCATTATAATAACTCCGAGTCCTGTAATTAAAAGCTGAGCTGTCCTGTGGGTGGAAATCCTGCATGTTTCAGAAGATGTGAAGATCCTACATCTAATGCATCGCTCAAGAGGAAGCGGAGGTGTGAGGGATGCTGGGAAATTCAAGGCTGTGTAGGAGAACAGCTATTTATTGCAGGATTCAACCTACGATAATATAAATCTAATTATAGGCAATAGTGTCGGATTGTTGCAGCTACTGAATTGAACTATGTTTATTTTGTAAATGAACTCAAAACCCTTTGGGCTCTATTTTGACGGTCCATGTGCAAAATGCAAAGCACAGGGTGCAAACGCATTCGGGGCGTGTCAGAATCCTTTTGCTAATATAAGGAGGGAAAAATCCGCTTTGCACCGTGGCGCATGATCTAAAAGGGTTGAGCTTATTTTCATAATGAGTTATAGGTGTGTTTTGAGAATAAACCAATCAGAGTTTCATCTCCCATTCCCTTTAAGAGTCAGTTGTGGTGCGCCATAACTGCATTTGCTATTTACATGACGTAAAGTAAGTGTAAGTGGAAAAACTGAGCATTTCACTAGCAAGAAAACAGAGTTAAACAGAGCATCTGCAGCGCGAGAATGAGAGATAAATTATTAACTTTCACTTTCGCTCTCGTGGATAGGGAAACCTTGTACGCACAAACATCAATTAGCCTATAAATAATTTTATTTGTTAGGCACAAAGATTTGTTTTTAAAATTGTTTCTAAATTCAGTTCTAATTCCCAGCAAACGAATAAATGAACAATAATAATGAAGTGTGCTCAAAAACCTGAGTTATATCCTAATACACATGCTGTGCCCCATATGGTCTGAAACCTGACAGGTGCACTGAAAAAAGTGTTGCATGCAGAACTGTCGCAAACAATTCATTTGTGTTGATTTTAAACAATCAAATTCAACTAAATAATGTTCAACTTAATTTGTTTGTTTAAATTCAACACAATTCATTTGCTTACAACCACTTAACATACAAAAATTGAGTAAATCCAAGAAATCATCTTTGATTAATTTTTTTCAGTGTGGACAAATCTAAGCTTGTTTTTAAAAAAACAAATATAAATATGCATATAATAAATAATACTGCTAATAATAATATAATACAAAAGCAAATTGTTATGAATGAACTGAAGACGAAGAAGGCATGAAAGTATGGTTTTTATATTTATGTACTGTAGGCTAGAAAATAATGTTTTGTAATATTTTAATCCTTTATATTTATATCCTATATATATATATATATATACAGTTGAAGTCAGAATTATTAGCCCCCTTTTGATTTTTTTTCCTTTTTTTAATATTTCCCGAATGATGTTTAACAGAGCAAGGAAATTTTCACAGTATGTCTGATAATATTTTTTCTTTTGGAAGAAGTCGTATTTGTTTTATTTCGGCTAGAATAAAAGCAGCTTTGAATTTTTTAAAAACCAATTTTGGGACAAAATTATTAGCCCCTTTAAGTTAATTTTTTTTTGATAGTCTACAGAACAAACAATCGTTATACAATTACTTGCCTAATTACCCTAACCTGCCTAGTTGACCTAATTAACCCAGTTAAGCCTTTAAATGTCACTTTAAACTGTACAGAAGTGTCTTAAAAATATTAAGTAAAATATTATTTACTATCATCATGGCAAAGATAAAATAAATCAGTTATTAGAAATGGGTTTCTAAAACTATTATGCTTAGAAATGTGCTGAAACAATCTTCACTCCATTAAACAGAAATTGGGGAAAAAAATAAACAGGGGCGCTAATAATTCTGACTTCAACTGTATATATATATCCTTAATATTTGAATTCTTTTTCATATGTAAAGATATTTGCGTATTGTTCTACATCTTTTGTGTATTAAGCCGTGTGTAAGCGAGGCGCACAACTAACGCGCTCTGCGCTGGACAATATACCGGCTTTGTTCTGGTCTATTGAAAAATCTATTATAGTATTTCAAAATAGCAATGTGCCTCAACACGCCTCCTTTTTTAGACCAGAACGCCTATGGGCGCACATATGAGCGCAAATGCATTTGATATTTAAACAGCGTGACGCAAAACGACTCTTGCGCCGAGCTGAAACTAGCAAAAAACAATTGCATCATGCCTTGCGCCACATTGCGCCGGGTGCATGATAGGGCCCTTAGACTTATTGTAGATGCTTATGATGCTTCTTATCTGATTTTCTATCAAATCAAATGCGTTCTAGAATCTCTAGAGTTCCTCTCTCTATACCATGGTTGTCACTATGCCAATTTTAGGGGGCTCTATAGCCCCTATATTTCTATTCTCAGAACAAAGATTTTTTCACAGTATTTTCTATAATATATTTTTCAGGAGAAAGTCTTATTTGTTTTATTTTGGCTAGAATAAAACCCGTTTTTAATTTTTAAGGTTAAAATTATCAGCCCCCTTAAGCAAGATTTTTTTTTCATTGTCTACAGAAAAAAAACATCATTATACAATAACTTGTCTAATTACCCTAACTCTCTTAATTAACATAGTTAAGCCTTTAAATGTCACTTTAAGCTAAATACTAGGATCTAGAAAAAATATCTAGTCAAATATAATCTATATCTATATAATAATCTATAATAATTCTGACTTCAACTGTATAATAGGATAACCTATAGTCAGGGCCAGACGGAATCTGCAGATTTTTTGCTATTTCTGCGGAGAATTTTGGTAAAAATCTGCAGATTTCTGCGGAGTTATTTGGGGAGTTTGTAGCGGAGTATTATAACTAAAACCTTAATATAATAAATAAAAAGTCATTAATTACTGAATAAAAACATATTTACACATTTACTCAAGTAAATAAACAGAATTAATAATGGGCTAAAAATCTGCAGAAATCTACGAAATTCTGCGGAAAATCTGCGGTATTCTGCGCGCGCAGATTCCGTGTGGGCATACCTATAGTCTACAATGTCACAGTTCAACATAGAACACTTTCTCTCTCTCTGTCTCTTTCTCACCCGGAGTGTGTGGTGCTCCTGGGCCAGGTATGATCGGATGTATGGATTGGGAACCGTGGATTCCAAAAACTGTGTCCAAAGAGCAGAGAGTTGAGCGCAGAGCTGCGTCAGATCTTTGCTGATCTGTTCTGCCACTTTCTCATGACCGCTCTGCAGCTGCACAGAGAGAGGATTGGGATAGTTACTTTACACTCAACTGGTTCTGAACGTTTCTGAACTTCTTTCACCTGTTGAACACAAAACAAGAATAATTTACATCCTTATTAGACTCCAAAACAATACTGTGGAGGTAAACGGCTGCTGCTTTCCAACATTCATCAGGCAGACATCCTTCTTTCTTTTTTGATGAAAAGAATCCCTTTACCAATGTGAAAACTGTCTGTTTAACTAATATAGTTGATCAATTAAGTGATTCCCAAACCTGCAGTTCAATGGTGAGCTGGTTCAATGTTTCTTCAAGGGGAAGATCCTCTGGAAAGGAGAACACAAGGAAACACTGTAAAAAAATGCTGGGTTCTACAAAATCGATTTGTGTTGAGACAACATGAAGAAATTAAGTTAACGTATTAGTCTAAAAAAATGTAAGTTGATTGAACTAAAAACAATTAAGTTGAAAGGGTTGGTCTTGGAATAAAACAACCTTTCTTATTTTAGATTTATTTTAGAATCATATTACCTTTGTATTTTATTTTATGTATTTATTTATTTATTTATTTATTTATTTATTTATTTATTTATTTATTTATTTATTTATTTATTTATTTATTTATTTGTTTATTTATTTTTGTATCTTTTATGCTCAGGGTTGGTCAGGGAATAATACAACCTATGTTATTATAGATTTATTTTAGAATTATATTACCTTTTTATTTTATTTATTTTTTAATATTTTATTTATTTATTTTATTGTCAGGGTTGGCTGTGTTTTTATTTTATTTAATTTAATTTTTATTTATTTTATTTTATTTTCAGGGTTGGTCATGGAATAATACAATGTCTGTTACTTTAGATTTATTTTAGAATTATATTACCTTTTTATTTTGTTTATTTTAATTTAATTTTAATTTATTTTATTTTATTTATTTTAATTTATTTAATAAATTTTCTTTTATTTTCAGAGTTAGTCATGGAATAATACAACCTCCGTTACTTTAGATTTATTTTAGAATTATATTATCTTTTTATTTAATTTATTTATTTTATTTTTATTTTATTTATTTATTTTATTTTTTTATTTTTATTGTCAGGGTTGGTCATAAAATAACACAACTTCAGTTATTTGAGATTTATTTTAGAATTATATTACCTTTTTGTTTTATTTACTTATTTGTATTTTTGTATTTATTTTTTATTATATATTTTTATTTTATTATTTTATTATTATTATTATTATTATTATTATTATTATTTAGAATTATATTACCTTTTTATGTTATTTATTTTTATTTTAATTATTTTTTTTTTACTACAATTTTTATTTAGATTTTATTTATTTAGTTTTTATTATTAGAGTTGGTCATGAAATAATACAACCTGTGTTATTTTAGATTTATTTTAGAATTACATGACCAACACTGAATAATAAGCTGCTTATTTTATTTTATTTTACTGTCAGATTTGGTCATGGAATAATACAACCTGTATTTTAGATTTAATTTAGAATTACATGACCAAAACAGAGTAAGAATCTGCTTATTTTGTTTTATTTAATTTTATTTTCAGGTCCCATTACGCAATATCAAAGTGTAAAAAGACCCAAAACACCTTTATAAACCACTGTAAAATCAGGTAATTAACACTTGTCATTTTCTAGAGTATTTCTTTAATCGGATGGTGCTTTTTAAAGTCTTTTTTTGCAGCCTCACAGCCCTTGATCACTGTCTGCTTTTGTTTAGCACATTTGTTTTTGGATGCCACATATAATTTAACGAAAATCTTAATTAATTTAAAAACATGAGGGATACATTTTATTTTTTATTTTTTTAGGTGGAAGAGTCTTTGAGGAAACCATTAGTACTGTCTTTAAAGTTGAATGAGTTATATAATAGCGTGTGTGTGTGTGTGTGAGTGTGTGTTTACCTGTTTGGATGTGTTGCAGTTGAGGGATCTCCTTCATTAGTGTGGTGTAATATGAGCGCAGAGCCCTGTGAGCCGCCAGCAACAGTTTACAGATGCGCCGGTGCCACGTGTACGCTCGCTGCAGACAGTTCTCCGACGGCACGTAAAAACTGCCCTGCAAACACACAGGGGGAAGGTCACAGTTTACTGCATGTCACACTTCTGCCTTGTTATTTCAACACACACACACACACACACACACACACACACACACACACACACACACACACACACACACACACACACACAAACACACAAACACACACACAACCAGACTGCATAAACACTGAACAACTACTTTTTCAGGTGGCCTAACAAACAACTTTAAGCTCTTACAAACACATGCTTCCTATGACAACCATCTATTCATCCAACCATCTGTTGTTCCATTTATCCATCCATCCATCCATCCATCCATCCATCCATCCATCCATCCATCCATATGTTCTATCTACTGTATTCGTCCTTCCATCCATCATCCATCCATCCATTGTTTTATCTACTGTATCCATCCCTCCATCTGTTGTTCTATCCACTGTATCCATCCATCCATTATTCTATCTACTGAAGGTATCCATCCATCCATCCATCCATCTGTTGTTCTATCTACTGTATCCATCCATCCGTTGTTCTATCTACTGTATCCATCCATCCATCCATTATTCTATATACTGTATCCATCCATCCATCCATTGTTACATCCATCCACTGTATCCATCCATCCATCCATCCATCATTCCATCCATCTGCTGTTCCCTGCAACTGTGATTCCATCCATCCATCCATCGTTCCTTCCATCCATCTGTTGTTCCATCTATCTTCTATCCATCCATCCATCCATCCATCCATCCATCCATCTATTTATCTGTCATTCCATCCATCCATCCATCCATCTGTTGTTCTATTCATCCATCCACTATGTCCATCCATCTGTCATTCCATCCATCCATCCATCCGTCATTCTATCCATCCATCCATCCATCCACTGTATCCATCCAACTGTGGTCTTCCACCGTCCATCCATCCGTCTTTTCATCCATCCAACTGTTATTTGTTGTTTTATCTTCTGTATGTATCCATCCATCCATCCATCCATCCATCCATCCATCCATCCATCCATCCATCTGTTGTTCCCTCATACCATCTGTTGTTCTATTCATCCATCCACTATGTCCATCCATCCGTCATTTCATCTATTCATCCATTTATCTATCATTCCATCCGTCCATCCATCCATCCATCCATCCATCCATCCATCCATCCATCCATCGTTCCTTCCATCCATCCATCCATCAATTGTTCAATCGATCCACTGTATCCATCCATCCATCCATCCATCCATTTGTCATTTCATCCATCCATTCATCTGTTGTTCCATCCATCCATCCATTCATTAATTCATTAATTAATTCATTCATTCATCCGTCATTCCATCCATCCATCTATCCATTCATCCGTCATTCCCTCATTCCCTCCATCCATTCATCCCTTGTCCCATCTATCCATCCACTGTATTCATCCATCCATTGTTCCATCCATCCATCCATCCATCCATCCATCCATCCGTCATCCCACTGTCCATCCATCCGTCTTTCCATCAATTCACCTGTCATTTCATCCAGCCATCATTCCATCCATCTATCCGTTATTCCATCTATTCATCAGTCCATCCATCTGTCTATCTATCTGCCATCCATCCATAAACATTTCTATGTTTTATCTGTCATCCTATCATCTTCCCATGCTTTTTTGTTCTGTTTATTGATCCATCCATCCATCATCCATCCATCCATCCATCCATCCATCCATCCATCCATCTATATATCTATCTAGATGGTTCTGTCGTTTATGTGTAATGTGGTCTGTATGTTTATGTTCAGTTGAGCCTGAAGCTCAATAATTAGATGAAGATCAAACGCAGAGTAAAACTTTAAGTAGTCGGTTTCCCAGCAGTAAAATAGGAGAATGTGTGCACACGTGGCACTGGCTTATGGAGAGCGACACAGAGAGACATCCTGGGGACAGGAAGGGCACACTTTAGGGTCTCTAAAAGGAAACACCCTCTCTGTTCAGTAAATGTGAACAATTAATGTGCACATTTTATTTGACTTGAAGCATGTTCAGTAATAAAGTCTGTAGATTTTGAATATGAATTTACTGTAGTTTGCTCCGTAACTAAACACAACTGAAATAGAGCAGGATAGTGTAAATAAACTGGTGAATGTTGTTTTAAAGTAATCATTTGAAATACTGTAAAAATAAATAAATTGAAAGTAAATAATTTTTAGATGAATTTTTTTTATTTATGCAAACATAAATTTGTTTTTAAACTGTTTTTAAATGCTTTTAAATGCTTTTAAATTACACCACCTTGTCGCCAATCCAAGTTTTAGGAACAACAAATAATAACTTGACTTCTAGTTGATCATTTGGCAGAAGTGGCTTATTTGAAAGACAAAGGCCTTTAGGTTACGCTTATTTGACCAAAATAAAACATGATCATGCCTTGATTGTTAATTATTTAATTAGGACAGTAAGGTCTGACTTTGCTTAGAAAAAAGTCTTGTCACTTAACAGAAATGATGTCCAGTATAGAACATAAAGTCATGCTGCAGTGGAAAAATTTAATAAGATTGTGTGGACTCCCATGAGCTTGGAGGACTGCATCCATACATCTCTGCAATGACTCAAATCACTTATTAATAACGTCATCTGGAATGGCAAAGGAAGCGTTCTTGCAGGACTCCCAGACTTCATCAGGATTCTTTAGATTCATCTTTAATGCCTCCTCCTTCATCTTACCCCAGACATGCTCAATAATGTTTATATTTGGTGATTGGGCTGGCCAATCCTGGAGCTCATGATGATTCATCTGAAAAATCTACTTCTGACACTTTTCCAAATGATCAACTCGAACTCAAGTTATTATTTGTTGCTCTTACAACTGGGATTGACGACAAGATTTTTGTCAGGTAGTGTACATTACGCAAACGTGATCTTTCCCATAACAATTTTAAAGTGTATAAAAATGACTTTTAGTAGTTTTTAGACACTTTTAGTAGTTTTAAGAGATGTTATAGTGCACTAGTTAGTGTTTTACAGTTATAAATTAAACTAGATTAAGTTACAGTATAAAATAGAAAAAAAAACTGACAGAAAATCTTGTTATTTTACGCTTTTTTCTATATTATTTCTAATACAGTGTATTGTTCAAACTACTAAAATGTAAGTAAAAGTCACTTTATTATAACTGCTCAACGGAATTTTCATAATGCAAATTAATAAAAATTAACACAAAGGCCCAGAACCTGTTAATTAATGGATATTATATCAGAGTATGCCATTTACATTTGATTCTCTTAATCTGCTTTTATTTGATCAATAATGCAATAAAATATAAAATATTATACCATAATTATATTTAAATGTGAAATATTATTGCCATTTAAAATATCCAATTCCTACTGTCATATCGTTTCAAATGTAATTTATTTGTTTGACCAAATACTGAATTTTCAGCATCATTACTCCAGTCGTCAGTGTCACATGATCCTTTAAAAATCTCATATGCTAAAACATTCATTCATTTAATCACTCATTTATTTTCTTGTCGACTTAGTCCCTTTATTAATCCAGGGTCGCCACAGCGGAATGAACCGCCAACTCATCCAGCAAGTTTTTACGCAGTGGATGCCCTTCCAGCCGCAACCCATCTCTGGGAAACACCCATACACACTCATTCACACACAAACTCCACACAAACTCATACACTACGGACAATTTAGCCTACCTAATTCACCTGTACCGCATATCTTTTGGACTGTGGGGGAAACCGGAGCACCCGGAGGAAACCCACGCGAA